ATTTTAGGTCTTGAATTGAGTATTGAATTGGTGAGCCAATTGTGAGGGGAACTTTACGTTCTAACGTGTGATAAACAAGGCCATTAGTGTGTGTTTACATACAGTGTCGGAGAGAAGGCCATTAGTGCGTCTTGAAGTCACAGTGTCTAGGAGAAGGGCGATAGTGCGTCTGTTAGATACACCTATCGTGAGTAATCGAAGGCCCTGAGTGCGCGATTATTCACAACCCAAGTATAGACAAAAATCCGATCCGTCATCATTGGTGCTTTCATTGGGAGGTGCTGATCGAATTGTTGGCTATCCTATCTTTTTCTTTTTTCGGTTTGCCTTTTGCTGAGGGGCCGAATTTCTCTTCTTTCTTTTTATTTCGGTTTTTGTTTTTGTTTTGTTGGGGGTTCGAATTTTTTCGAATTTTTACCCATAATTTCGAAAATTGAGTCTTAAAAAAAAAGGGTCATCTAGTACTTTGTTTTATATTTTTTCGGTTATTACCTTTTGTTGAGGGGTCGAATTTCTCTTTGTTTTTTTGAATTTTTTTGGTTCGAGTTTTTGTTCGGAAATTTTTATTTTTTTTTGAAGAGTCAAAAAAAAAAATGTCTTACCCACCAATGGATGAGTTAGATTGGGAAGACCTTGAGATGTTGGAAGGTTTGGAAAGAGAGCTCACACCATGGGAGAAAACATATCTAGATGAGCTTCATGAGCGAAGGAATATAGAATAATACGAGCGACAACTCGTAGAAGCCCGAGAAGCAATGGTGATCGATGCTCAAGACAATGGCGATGAAGGAGCGCTAAATTTTCTAATCCTTGAGGACAAGGAAAGTCTTGAAGAGGAGGGGAATGATACGGAAGTGGTCATTAACCCAGGCGAGTCAGAGGATGAGGACGGCGACGATCTCAACATATGGTTGGACAACATGCTAGAAGAGCCATCAAGTCCAATATACCGGCCATCATGTGTACGAGATTGGCCAAAAGGATGTGGTCCGAAGTTAAAGGTGAAGGCTCGGAAACGCAAGGCCAAGCAAGCCCGACGAAAACACAAGGCAAAGGCTAAGGAAGGGCAGTGTTGGTGCAAGCCTTGTGCGAGAAAGAGACGAGTTTGGAGAATGGAAGCTCGAAGGCGTGGTAGGCAGAGAATGGAGGATGGTTGGATATGGCGGGCTGGTGATTGCAATGATGGTAAGTGTGTTTAAGGTTGGGACCCATGGGACGAGCCAAGGTCATCGGGCGAGCACTTGGAGTCGGTTGGCAAC